TTGGAGCCAGACTTACTGGTGCGTAGTAGAAAGGAGATAAACGAAGTCAAACATACAAAGATTCACATATACATATACGTTTAGAGGGGAGACGGGGGGGGGAGAGGGGGGGAGGAGAGCAACACACATCCAAAGCAGGTTATTGGTCACCCTCGCAACTACGTCACAACACTAAATGCACCATCTTCACTACTCCAACACATATAAATAGAGATGGACATATACACAGCTCTATTATCTACAATGACGAGCTCAGTGTACTCGTCTTATCCGCCTCATTAGTGTTGGGGGTGCTTAAGCGGGGTGGAACTCCACAGCCTGATGAGGAGTCCGTGTCATTTTCTGTCTTCCATTCGGAGTCTCTACCCTCATGATTAACTTCGGCAAGAAAGGGTTCTATTGTCTCATCCCCCTTCCAAAAATTACCCATCCTCGGCTCTGACTTCATCGCTACAGACGTTCCGGACGATGCAGCAGTGGACATTTGCGATGAGATCGGTACGAATTGAGAAAGTGGTGGCAATTGGGGAGTGACTTGTGAGAACGCCCTTCCATTCCATGGGCCAGTGTTGGAACTAGCAGCAGCTGCTGCTACTGAGGTGGTGATGGTGTTATTATTGGCACCGCTTAATCCACCATACCCTTCGCTTCCTGGTGTTTTGTTGTAAAAGGTCACATCGGGTTGGTCAACCACATCACAGAAGGCCAGTGGTTCCGCGTCCATCGGAGTGACACTGTCGGCAGGCGCTGGTGGCAGATAGCTCTCCGAATTCTCCACCACACAATTAAGAACGGGGATTGAGACACCGGGACAGTGCTGGTGCAGGAGGGCAACACACTTGCGACAGTAATCACGCCACACCTCCATTTCACGCAACAAACGTGTGGTCTCCAAATTGAGATTCTCCACCTGTGCCTGCAACTCCTGGGTTCGGTGGAGTTTGCGCTCACGACACTTTTGGGCCGATTTGCGATTCCTCTCTCGTCGTTTCATTCGTCTGTCCGCCTCATCGGGGTCAACCTGTGTAATCGTCAAGACAAAATCGTCCTGAAAGCGGCCACTTCTAGCATAGTTGAACCACCCAAACCGATGCTAAAGATAATTTTCATACACCAAACGGTTTGAATTGTAAGGATCTTATCCACCCAAGGCCCTAGAAAACGCGTTAATGTTAATTCTCGAGAGATCTCTCTCCCTCTCGAGATCTACAAAGATCCGTATGTGATTACGATTATGTCTTACGCTTTATTTACGATGAGGGCAATCAAATTCCAAGGTTAATGTGTTGATGCTTAAGGGACCGGTGAATTCGCTTTTTACGGCACCGAATCACCGAGTTTCATAATGTTGTGTGTCCATACGCGCATACAGAGCATCGATATGGAGTGACTTTGGGTCTAATGGTTCAAATTATTCATAGGAGGTTTTATGCTCCGACCATCAACACAGAGTCTCCTGCAGCAATGGCGCACACCATGGAGCATTGATGTTATCAAACCGGTGTGGATGGGAGAGGGTAGGGTAGAGTTAGGCCGGGGGGAGTGGGAGAGAGGTCGGACCTTCTTTGATATCCCCGGCTCGTTTTATCACCATGTCCGCAAGAGTCAACTCTACTCGACTCGACAGAGGATTGTATGTGCAAAGCCACACAATCATACCCACTGTCACCATCGTCATCAGCAGCACCAGTAGAGCCTTTCTTTAACTACAGTGGCCCTACTTCGCTCCGGTCTGTCTCATCCCTCTCCTCAACTATCCCATCTCAACCAATGACAATGAAGGAACGGCGTCACTTGCATTGCGTGCACTCAACTCACCAAAGGCACGCAATCCCCCTGGCCTTCCATTCTCACCCAGTAAATTTATGCCTTTTTGTCATCCCACTTCGGCGTCTGGATTGGAAGAAAAGACAGCCTTACTTTACTTTTCACCCTTTTACAGATCTGGTCTACTACCAGTTGCAGTAAATCAATTACCAGTGACTAAGTTTGGGTGACTTCTTTGAACAATTTGGACCACTTCACTGAACGTAAACTCACTTACTCTCATTACATTGGATAGTAGTCATGACCTCCAACAGATTGCAGTACACAAAGAAGTAGGGTGCTTTTAAGAGTCGACTTTTTAGGTCAGAGGTCATGCTATGGCATCAGGGAATGGAAACTTCGCACCTTATAAACTGGTCACATCGAAGCCTGTGCTACAATACGTCCAGTTTGTTCAAACTCACTCATGCCAACGCTACCAAATAAACTGCCTCGTGGTTGTGTGGAGCACAAGAGCGGGGTGGAGGGACAGTGGGAAAAACCTCCTCTACGCGCCTAGTGACATCGAGTGAATGGCACTTAGCAGATAGCAATCCTAAAGTCATCAATCAAAACATCAGTTAATTCGTTTGTACGACACACAATATTGTGCTAGGATAAAAAAGAGGTGAATAGAGGACTCTTTCTATGCTAGCAAATACTTGATAGATCCTCTCGAGCCGTTCACTACTTATGTCTACACCATAAAATGGTAATAATTGAGGTCACACGAGTCATCATGCAGTGGTAACAACTCACTGGTTCTGATTTGAGATTTCGACGTCCAGTGGCCAAGGTGGGAGCAGGTTTCCGTGGTCGTTTGGGTTGTGCCACTACTGAAGCTGCTGCAACCACTGCAGTTGTTGTTGTGGAGACTGCACCTGTTGAAGGGAGTGAACTTGCTCCCCTGGTGGCCGAAGAACTGGCCGTTGTCTCTCCATCCGACGAGGCGAGGCTGGCAGGTGGTGAAACGGCCATTGAATCAGCGGGCTGGAACCGTCCAGGCATTTTAGCCCCTCGCACCACTAGTCCATTCACGGGAAGTTGGGCTTTTTCGTCCCGAGTATTCCCATATCTGTAGGTGTTGTACTGCAAATCCGAACCAAGAGGCTGAAAAGCCGGATTCGATTTGGCGTGGTAGAGATCTCCTTGACCGTCCGCGTATTCCATATGTGGGATTACACCGGTTGCTGAACTGCTTAGATAATTGGGTCTAGGACCGCTGTAAGAGGATCCTCGTTTGAGAGGATACGTTGGGGAGTAGTGTTGATGCTGTTCGTCATATCGTGGATATGCCCCCAGTGGAGTGGTAGTGGAGGTAGGTGCCGTAAATGTTTTCCCATTTTGGTTCGTCATCACTGTTGTGGAGGTGGTTGGAACAGTACTTTTTGGAGGATGGGATAGCAGGCTGTGTGCGGCTGGAAGGCTTCCAACATGAGGTGTAGTTGACTCACAGGACACCTCAGTCCATTGAGGGGAGCTTATGTTGGGAAGAGGGGACCAGCCTGTGTAATCAGGTTGACGTGGCCGCATGGATGAGGCATCCATGGGGTAGCAATCGGGGTTGGTGGCGCCTCCGGAATCGCGCTTGTAGAATGTCATCGGGATAGCACTTGAAGGCGAAGGCTTCTCTGGCGGAATGAGAGGTGGTTGTCCAAATGTACTGTGGTTGTTGGCCACTGACGACATCATAAAAGCAAACTGTTTGGATAGATACGGAAATATCTGTCTAAACAGCTGCTCTCTTAAGGTACAGCCTCACACAGAAGTGAACACTGCGAATGTAGGCGCTGCCTAGACGCGCGTTTATAAAATGAGTCATACGACACGCATAGAGGTGCTGACCGAACCGCAGGGCCAATGTGTGCGCCCGTATCACCTGCTTCAATGCAGTGATTGGTCGAAATCCGTTAGCCAATCAGGTGGTGCCTCGTTCACACGCGCACGAAGAACCTGATTTTATTGCCCTGGCGACTAGGTCTGCGCGTACATTGCGTATGCGTGCGTATGTGCATACGGGCGTGCGCACGTGTAAGCTGCCTTAGCCTCGGACGTGCGTGTTGTCGTGACATTAACCCTCTGAGGGGCATTTCGTGGTACTGGAAAGATAAACGACCAATTCTCTTTCCCCGCCTTCTAGCCGCCCTGCCTACCCAACCGCCTCAGAAAGCCGCACGCCCACCCCCTCCTCCCTTTTTTTATTTTAGATCATCACATATTTTACCGGTCTTACCGCTAAACCATAAAAAATTTGGTCGAACTCTCGCTCACATAAATAGACCAGCACATTTAGTAGTGCTTTCCTAGACTCTACAATTGGATTTGACCGGGTTTTATTTAATTGACTATTTCGTAATAAAAGTGGAAAGAATGCAAGAATGTACTACAAATTCTACTTGTGTATAATTTGTTTTCAACATAACCGACTTACTCTTGGCTCCGTACTTGCCTCAATTGTGTTGTGCCTCTGGTTCGCCTGGCTTCCCACGGCAAAGACCAAGGCTACACAGACGACCGCCTAGCCGAGACCCTCATTCGCAGTTTTATCCTCAAAGGGCATTAATTAGCGGACAGAGGGAGCTGACCCGAAAGATGGGATCGGCCAGTTGCTTCACCTTAATTACCCACTTCCGAAATCTCTGAGACCATAAATTTATTGAGTGTGTGTGTGTGTGTGTTCATACATACTTGGACGGTTTACGTTAACGCAAAACACTCTGGGTGCTCCTGTCGTTCTGCTATGCAATTGACAGCCTTTAAGCTGATGTACCACCCTAACTGTTGGCCCATCCCATAAGGACAGGAGAGCTGCATAAATGCATTTTGTTTTACCTTGAGGAATACCAAGTTCAACACTTCATATCTACACACGTCAAGTGGTTTGGCCAACAAAATTCTTCCATCGAAATGCAATTTTACGTTGGGTTAATCACTTGTTACACGATAGCAAGGCTTAAAGGTCAAGGGTGGATTTAGAGGCAGGTAAATGACCGAAAAGAGCGCTCT